CAGAGATTAGCCAGTACAAACAGACGGACAGACGAAAATATTAAAAAATGTTATTTTGCTATATATATTCACACCATAATAATTATGCATGTAGTAAAACGCGGTAATTTCATTATTACATACATACACTCCAATTTTATGTTTATCTTTAGATGTATAGATAATCTATTGCACCATTTTTGTTTCCAAAGTGACATTTATGCAGGAATTACTTTATCTAATAGGAAATACGATTAGTGTACCAATACAAAGGACAATAGTAAAAAAAATATAGATAGTAAAATAATTCAAAAGTATGCTAGAAATTAAAGTGTGGGAGAGCTATGCTTCGTCACGAATGGGTGGCTTGACCGGATTATTACCACGGCCTCATAGAAGACCGACGTGAAACAACGCTTCCATTGTGTTTCGTTGTCATGTGAGTGAGGTTACCAGCCCAATTACCCCTCGCCCCCCTTTTCCAATCCTTGAATCCCCAACAATCCTCAAATCCCTAATCCCAAAAGGCCCGTAACGCATGGTGTCCATGGGCGACGCCGATTGCTTACCATCAGGTGATCCGACGACTTGTTTACCGGTTCATCCTATAAAAAAAAATTAAAGACTTTTTGACTTAAACTAAAACTGTAATAATTTTCGTAGGACATATTAAATTAATTATTATGTTTTACGACAAGAAGCAGAAGAAAAGCCCGCCGTGTAGGCCACGCTTACAAAATGTCGATAAGAACTTTAGAATTGTATTTGATTAAGTATAATAAAAAAAAAAGTTTATTTCAATTACATAAAATTATTGGAGATCACCTTTTAAGCTGAAGTGGCAGCGGGCCGGTCACATTTGTCGAAGAACCGATAACCGTTTGGGGTAAACGTGTTCTAGAGTGGAGACCGCGTCTGGGCAAACGCAGTGTAGGGCGCCCTCCAGCTAGGTGGAGTGACGACATCCGCAAGGTGGCTGGCAGTGGTTGGATGAGAAGACCTGAAGACTGAGCTCAGTGGCGTGCTATAGGAGAGACCTATGTTCAGCAGTGGACGAATACAGGCTGATGATAATGATGATGACCTTTTAAGCAATGGAGTGCTTGTGCTAGGAATAATGTAACAATAAACAATTACTGAATCCTAATAAAACAATTCATAAACATTAACAAATACATATAAACGAATGTTTTCCTGTGTTTGTGCCTACAATAAATTAACCTGTTATTCTCACAGAAATGCTGACTAAACACTTTGATTGAATATTTCTTGGAATATGACTGTACCTAGGCATGTGTTTACCTAGTAACATTTGTTTAAATTTCATGACTTAGACTAAGATTTTCATATGTATGTTAAAGGACAATGTTATTTTACAGTTAGGTTGTTAAAGGACAATATATCCTATAGTTCCTAACTCTAAATACCATAACATAACATCTAGATCATCAACATAGCTAGGACAAGCTTTGTTAAATTTTCTCATTAAAAAGACATATTTTATTTACTGTTTTAGCACTACAATACAGAATGTACAACTGTACTATTAATACATACATAACATCACGCCTTTGATCCCCAAAGGGGTAGGCGAAGTGCACATTATGCCACTGTACAATGTAACATCGACTTTTCACTATGTATGTTATGAGTCCCATGTAATAGGGGATGAGTCTATTGTCATATACCGGGCACAATTCCAGAGTCCGTGCTACTACTGTGAATTTTTGAAAAACCCAGTATTTTGCCCGACCCGGGAATCGAACCCGAGACCCCTTGCCCGGCAGTCGCACTTGCGACCACTCGGCCAATGAGGCAGTCTCGGGCTCTAAATAAGTATCTAAAACTATTCTACAGGATTTGGTAACTGACATAATTTCTACGACAAGTGTAATCTCATCCTTCTTAAGTGGAAACTGTAACCAGTTTGCAGATTAGAAGGATGAGATTGATTGAGAATGCTGCCGGACACCGGGACTCTGTAAGAAAGAAAGAAAGATAAACCATATATTACACCACGATACACACATAGACAAGACTACAGGTACACACTTGAAGCCCATGGTGCATTGTACTGCGAAAGGGCGGAGCTCAGCTTAATACTGTAGCCCGGGCAAGAAGGCTGTCAAATGTTTATTTCTCTGGCAGTCGGACTTCAATTAATTCTCAGCTTTATTATAACAACCAGATGGTGTAAGGTTGAGTAGCTTGATCTGGTAGCACTAATTCTGGTAGCAATAATTTTCTTTTACAGTCCAAGATTACCTACTTGGAACACAAAACCTAGCTATTGTTGTTATAATAGCGATAAAGTTATAATTCTTATCTCGGAATTATCAATATCTTTACTGCTATGTGATCTCCGTCATGTTTCTCGTATCAATAAGACTATTAGAAACTGATGTTGAGTGAAAAATCTTTGCTTATTGTAATTTGGTAACAGCGCCACCTAGTAAGTTATACAAGAACTTGAAGGTTTTAAGCGATGCAGCTTCGTGAAAAAGTATAACGTTTTATAATAGATGTCACTGTCATCAAATATTTTTGCAATTTTTTAATTTAATCCTAAATAGATATTTAGATAAACTGTAATGTAGTGTATAAGCTAGTCGATATAGATAACACTAGATAACAGATCTAAAAGATAACCACTGAATTATACCCCAAAAATTTAACCTTGAAGGTTTGAATGACGTCAAAAAACCTTGATATCAAGGTCACTAATTAATTTTCGCACACAATAAAATCCCCCAAAATCACCAATAATCCAACAAAAAAATATAAACAAAATATATTAATTTTCAGCGAATTTCAAGCGTGACCTTTATTAAGGCCGTGTCCTCGCGGCGAGGTCGCGTTACCTCGCGACGAGGTCACTAGAAGGTCGCCCTTGGCAGGATAATGACACTGAACTTGTTCCAACAACCTTGGAGTAAGGCCGCGTGACGTTTCCGCGATATATTTAGCGTAAAATGCGAGTATGTTGATAATGATGATGATGGCGATGACGATGCTCTGACGCGTGTAGTAGGAAATGATTTGTAACTGTGTATGTGTAAGTTTTATAGTCGTTAATTGAATATGTGCTGTGCTGATAGGTGTTAAAGTAAGTTGTTGATATTGGTGGGTAGATGTTAATATAGTTGCTAGGTTACCGGTCGCTATGCAATGTAGCGGGTCAACTAAAACACAGAATTTGTTAATGTGATCCACAAATTGATGTTCCGAGTTCATATGGTTATAATTGAAATAAAAAAAAATCTACTGTTTATAATTGAGTAATGACACTGAAAGAAGAGCTACTAACTCTATCAGCTTACATGTTTACACGCAACTTTAGTTTAAACTTCATGATTGTTTTACGTTAGTCACAATAGATGGCGCTGAGCGAAGATTAACATAACTACACTTCCTTTTAGAAATTAATGTTTTACAGGCCTTGTTTCTCTAATAGTTTCATGTAGATTGTTTACAACTTTTATTGTACCCAAAGTGAGTTAAAACAATGTGAGTCAAATTAATAGCAATTTATTTAATCAGATACTTTATTGTGAAACAGGCTCGAATCAACCATTACAAAAATAGATCCTACATTGGGCATTGGATCAATCTTCTTTATATGTTCTGTGGGATCAATCATGAACTAATGATATCGACAAATTTTGTCGTAGGTCCAACAACGGTAACTACCTAACTACAAATGGTAAAAATTCAAGCTTGGGGTATTGAGTGGCTGTCGTTGACTACCACCATGTTGAATGTGATGATGTCCAGAAGCAGTTGGAAATATAGTGACCTTTGTTGGTGACGGCGAAAAATAAAATTTCAGACATTTTTATAAAGATCAAAAAATATAATTTTATTTAAATTATCTAACTAAGAAAGTATCGAAGTAATTACAATAGGGTTCAAAATAATGACGGTGACTAACAAATTCGTAACTCATACACAAACAGACAAGATCTACTTACAGATAAAAAATTGTCTTTAATTACTTAAGTATTACTTAACTACATTACTTAACTTATTTTTTAAAGTTTTTTAAATATTGGGGGCACGGTAGTGTACAGCCAAGTTGCGCGTGACATAATAATTTTATTAAATAAGAATGTCGAAATGAATAAAAGTTGACGATTTAATCAAAGTTAGGCACACTTTTCTTCTAAAATAAAATTATTATGAAAGTGTCGAATAAAAATAAGTCAAAAGTTATTGTATTCAATTTCTTTGTTGATTGCTGCAATTTGTGTAATTTTCGGATCGTAACCAAAGTTTTGTGTCAATTTTGTTTAAACAGTAGATAATCATCATGACAAACTCTCAACAATATTATAGTACCCTATTTCACAGACTAAAGAATATAATTCAGAACTCAACATTACCTACTACAAACACAAAGAATATAATTTATGTCAAACATTTTGCTAAATAAAATATTTGTCCAAGTGCTATAAAACGTCTGAATTATTTACAATTTAAACTGTCATTATTCTTATAAATGTCATGGATTTATTAAATAAATTAATCATTATGCTACACCTATACCTATCCAAATTTACAATGAATGAAATTTACCAAACAAATATAATTTGAACATAAAAATTTACTTAATTACAAGGATATACTTTACAAATAAAAAATGGCGTAAACTTTTCAATAAAAAAATAAAATTACTTCTATTAAAGAAACCAGAACACATAGGTATTTGATCACATTTCTATCACATGGTATTTTCTGGTAACATTCTTAATTAAAAATATTAATACGAGCATACACACGCCACACGTAAAGCTACTATAAGCTTCGATAGACTTTTAACATTATTCCTTAAGAATCAAATTAAAAAAAAATGTCAAACAAAGTATAACGTGGCAGCACATAAAGCAACTACAACCTTCAATAGAATATTGATTTAAATACATAAGAAATAAGATTAAAAACCTATTGTCGGCAAAATTATAGCTTTACATGCTGTCGTCTGCATTGCATATAAAATAAAATTTTAAACAACTATTGTCATACTAAAAGACTTCTTTTCTGAATCCAAATCCAAACTGGTCACATTTGACCCTGAGTATCTTGGCGAGCTGTGGAGGTCCGCAGTAGAAGACTGTGACCTTCCCTTTGTTCTGTTCCTGCAGTTGTTTGAACACTTTATCCCAGTTCGGACGACCCGCGTTCGTTCTGGTCTTCAAACCTGTTATTAAGTCACGTTTCTCCTGCAAAAAAAGTATAATTTTAATGTTGCCACTATAAAACCTTCTTTTTCTTCTATACATCAATCAATAAAATCGTAGGAAAGTGAAAACTGTACATTGAATATTTTCACAAAAGAATGCCTGGTGCGTAATCTACAATCGATACCAAAACCAAAAATATGATTTTAGAATTTTTGTCTGTTTATCTGTATGTATGTCTGGGATAACTCAAAAAGTGCTGCATGAATTCACTTCAAATTCTGCATGAATATTATTAACAGGTCGGGTCATCATATAGGCTACATATTATCATGTTATCAACTACTGAGCAGGAGCTGTGAATCAAATTCACAGTCAACAGACAATCTATTCCACACGGACAAAGTCGCGGGCTCAGCTAGTTTATAATAAAATGAAAAATGTCGGATAACAGTCTCTTGAATCAACGCCTGTAACACCTGGCTACTGTAGAGATATATGCAAAGCGGAAACACATTGCCAAGAAGAATATCTGTCATTTTCTGAAGTCTGGTAATTTGGATCGAGTTATTCCCAACACAAGTATTGTATAATATCTTACTGGGACTGCCTCAATGTTAGACAGATATTGTAATTCTTAAGATAATAAACAATTTGAATTTGAATTGAATTTGAATTTGGTAACGTGGTAACCCATTACACACACACATAAAAACTACTGTAATTTTTGTGCTTCAGCAACAGCCTATAAATGCCCACTGCTGAGCAAAGCCTCTTCTCACACAGAGAAGGTTAGAGCATTAATCATCACGCTTGCTCAATGCGGGTTGGCGATTTCAAACTTATAATTAGAAATTATAAGTCCAGGTTTCCTCACGATGTTTTTCCTTCACCGTTTGTCAGTGGTGTCTAAATAATCTTAGAAAGTACATATAACTCGGAAAAAGTCACATTAGTACTTGCCGTTGGTAGGTTTCGAACCCGCACCCTCATGCATGAGAAGTGGGCGTCTTAAACCTCCGGGCCACCACGACATTGTGCTTCAGTCATTTCTAAATCACATTATGTCCATGTCTTTTTAACGTCCTTGTCCACGATCTACAAATACCAAAGCTAAAGAGGCCAACAATACTTGGAACTCCTTGGGGTATGTCAGTGTCCACTAGCGGCGTTGATTGCTTACAATCAAGTGATCATCGAAAATTCGTCTCCTCGTTTGCCCCATGCAAATGTATGTCAAATTAAATCAATCTCGAATGTACCTTCTCATGCAAAAGATCCAAAGCTAACTGCAGTCCAACGGCCTTCATATCTGACTTCTGTAACGCGCTGGTGATATACATGTGCATCTCCAGAAACCGTTCCATAGCTCCACCCAGCTCTGCCTGTTCTATCTCCAATTGAGACAGCAGCGATACGAACCACTCGAATGAACGCTGCTCACGGTTTATCCAGAAGAAATCCACCTGGGGATGATAAAAATTAGTAAAATGGAACTATATCATAAAGAAGGAAGTCATTGTTTAAGCAAACTATATTCTTGTATTTTTATATGGTATAAGCTGGTAAACTAGCGTACGGATCACCTGATGGTAACCAATTGCCGTCGCCTATGAACACTTGCAAAACCAGAGGCGTAAGAAGTGCGTTACCGGCTTTTTGGGATTAGGAATTTGAAGATTGTGGGGCATTTAGGAATTGGGAAAGGGAGAACCTCACTCACGCGACGAAACATAACGCAAGCTTATTGTTATAGTTTTAAATCATAGATAGTCTTTGCACATGTATCAAAAATATGACTATTACGTCTAGTTGAATATTGTAATAATGTCCAATATGATTATTTAGTGATGAAGTGAACTACCTAATATAAGTATTATAGTATATTCGTGATGGAAACATCGCCGTCAAGATTAATATTTAAAGCTCAATTTAAATTTTATTTCTAGAAGTCCCAGTTACATCATTCATCATTTTTCTAGATAAATTGACAACAATTTTAATCAATAAGTTTCAGTTAAGGTGACACAATCATCATTTCGGTAATGTCTACATATTCTTCACAGCACACCAACTTACATACACAAACACACAACTTCAGATACACTCACACTAAAGACATGAACACTCACACACTGTACATTCATTTTCACAATTGACAAACACATTCTCATCATCCATTCTCATATAATCCACTCTGGTTTGGTGTTGGTCTACCCTCAGACCACGGAATTTGTTTCTTTTTATTGCTTGTATTCTATTGCATTATAATTACCTACTATATTATTGTGACATCGGGTGTGAACCTGGAGATCTGTCATACAGGTCTTGAACCCAGTATAGACTCCAGCTCTCACAAAGGTTGAACCTATTGTAACTTAAATAGTGATATAATGTTTCTATGTATGTACCTTTTTGAGAGAAATAAATTCCTTTATTATTTATTATTTCATCAACAACTGATTCTGAAACATCACTCACCTTCTTTAAATTCATATTATGTCGGGGCATATCAGACGCCCACGTATGCCCACACTTAGGACAGTCCTGCCTGGCACTCCAGTAGCGGTACATCACAGCTTGCAGTATGGACGCGAAGGGAGTGACCCCAATGCCGGCCGCCACGAGAGCTGCGTGCTGGGCCAGGAAGATGTGTGAGGAGGCTGCGCCGTATGGACCGTCGAGGTAGATCTGATGAGAAGTAAACAGTATTACTTCATGTAATATAGGGTACCTACATTGTTTCTCGTAGCAACAAAAGTTGCCATTAAAATCTATTGCTTAAAACACTGATATGAAATATGAAATGCTATGTATACCGATTATCAGTAAATTGATAACCTTTCACACAAATACTATGAATGTGAAAGTTTATTTGTTTGGATGTTTGAGTATTTGGATGATTGTCCGTCAATCACGCTGAGACTACTGAACAGATTGATATACAGACAAGGTATAGGCTAATTTACGTGATAAGACACCTTTAATCCCGATTAAATGCTCCTATGGGATAGAACACAAAAACGCGGACAAAGCCGCTAATAAATGCTAATAAAAGATATTTATAACTAATTCAAATGATTTACCTCCAGAGGTTTTCCAATAGGATAGTTGGCTTCGAAATCATCAGTAGCCTCTGAACCATCATTCTCACACTCTACGATCTTCTCTGGCTGACATTCAACGTCTCTATCTGGAGACAAGCTCTTTGATAGACGACGACGAGCTGGAAACAAGAAAACAAACAAAATGTAATAAGGAACTTCGGATTTGAAAATCACTACATAGTATAAAACAAAGTCGCTATCCTCCGTCGTCTGTCCCTATGTATGCTTAGTAGATCTTTAAAACGACGCAATTTTGAAGCGGTTTCTTTTAGTAGGTAGATAGAGTGATTCTTAAGGAAGGTTTTATATGTAGAGGTATAATAGGTGCATATTGCACCCATGCAAAGCAGGGGCGGGTCGCTAGTTTTTAATAAAATGAAAGATAAAGATACAAAATTGGTTTACAGAACAAATTCTTGCGAAATAAGTAGTTTCACTTATTAAACATGGCATCGTGACCACATAAAGTACGGATATTAGAAATCTACATCAAAATTTAAATAAAACAATATACTCCAACTCACCAAGAGTCAAAATGCTATCATTACTCCTCCTCCTCTCCTCAAAGCTAGGAGTCTTGAAGGCGATGATCGTAGGCTTGGTCCTCATGTACCTGAAGCTGTGTACTAAGGATTTGTTCTGCGGTATCTTGCTGGCTAGCCCGAAGGTCCTGCGAGCGCTCAGCATGGAGCCCTCGTCCAACTTGCTTTCTGACTCTGAACGCATGAAGTCGCGAAGACTGGGAAGATGGAAGAAAGGAACATTAAATATGTTTGTACCTTTATAAATCCATCCATTTCACAAATCCATTAGTATTCCAGACTACAATCCGTTTCAAATTGCATCCCCCTTCGTTTTGACGTTAAGTACAAACATAGACACAAGCTCACAATAACGTTAGTAAAATCCAAAATTAATAAGAGTCAATAGGGTAGTTTCCTAAATTTTATTTTAATGTTCGTCTGGTAGATTATTTTAAAACATTAGACGCGTATTATTTCTTTTCTCACAAAATTAAATGCTTTCGGCGATATATTGATTTGAAATGTTGTGTGACGTCACAGCCTGCTACAAAATGTAGCACATTGTGACATATCTACCTCCCACTCCTAAACTTAACTCCATTTTATTTAAGTATTGTAACTTTATACGAGAAAATAAAAAATACCTGTCTAATATTTTTTCATTATGTAACTGACGGACTAATTAGATTTTTAATTTTCTTACCCTGGAAACTACCCTATTATAGGCATTAAGCCCGTGGCGTACCGGAACGTAGATCTACGCGAGACACACTGTAGTTTGTGTTGTGTCTCATATACTGAAACTCGAGATGTCAAACCTAAAGTCAATTACATTTATTTACAACAACCCACCATTTATAAATCAAGAATTTTAATAACTGGGAGCACGGAAGTGCACCGCCAAGTTCGATTAATTTCATTATAACTTACGCTATTAAGCGCTGTCGTTTCTTCAAATTCTTCTGTACGTCGGGCATGGAGCGAGACTTCTCTAGAGTGCGAGGCGGAGCCAGCAGTAGTGAGGGGTGATACGATATCTTTGTTGGTGACGGTGCTGGAAGTAGAGGATAGAAAAGTAATTAATATAAAACGTAGATTTAGTGTATTGAGCAAAATATTATTATGTGTTATAATGCCAGATTTCAAGTAGGCGCAAATGCAACGACTTAGGGGATTGGTTCTCATGCTAACGTTAACATTATTACAAACTTTTTTTAAGTGTGGGAGAGCCATGCTTCGGCACGAATGGGCCGGCTCGACCGGAGTGATACCACGGCCTCACAGAAATCGACGTGAAGCAACGCTTGCGTTGTGTTTCGTCGTGTGAGTGAGGTTACCGGAGGCCCAATTACCTTCCCCTTCCCCAATCCCTGAATCCCCAACGATCCTCAAACTCGTAATCCCCAAAAAGCCGGTGACGCATTTGTAACGCCTCTGGTGTTCCAGGTGTCCATGGGCGACGCCGATTGCTTACCAACAGGTGATACCTCTGCTCGTTTACCGACTTATGCCATAAAAAAACTAGGATTTTCAATATTAACGTTCTAATTTTTTAAGACCATGTGTCATGGCTCGTATTTTTTTATCTTGTATGTTTGTTCTCTCTCAATAGTAACGAACGTACCATCATTTTGTTTGACGTCTCCATTGCCTTCCTCTGCAACATAAGCATCATTGGTGAAGCACTTGGGGGAGAAGTCCACAGACCTCTTCTTAGTGCTAGCTACTGAACCCTTACGGCTCTTCTTACTTTGGCTGGATATTGAACGAGCTAGCTGCCTGTACAGAAAACCAGAGTCAATGAGATGTAGGGATTTTGTTGGTTAAGCCTTTGATTACCTATTAAAAGCTGTTGAACACAAATTGTTATTGTATAAAGACAAATAGGTAAGTATTTAATGACATTTTGATGTGGAATTGGATAAGATTTCTGATTCAGCAAACGCCTTCATGGCCATTCTACCAATGACTCATTTATAAGGATTCTAGTATTCAGTATACTTACTGATGTCCATTTTCAATTGCCGGCAGTTCTTCCCCGTGTAACCTGGCTTGTTCTCTCTCGAAGTAGGAGTACAATCGGTTGGTCCATTCTCCAACGCCACGGATGTGTAGCCAGATATATTCTGTAATAATAATTATGTGATGATAATTGACTGCCTCGATGGCCGAGTGGCCGCGAGTGCGACTGCCGGGCAAGGGGTCTCGGGTTCGATTCCCGCGTCAGGCAAAGTATTACTGGCTTTTTTAAATTCACAGTAGTAGTATGAAGTCTGGAATTGTGCCCGATATATGGCAATAGGCTCACCCCCTATTACATGGGACTCATAACATATATAGTGAAAAGTGGGTGTTACATTGTACAGTGGCATAAGGTCCGTAATGTACACCTCTGCCTATAATTGTATGATAAGCAGAATATTCTTTAAAATGTCAAATGTAGCTTTGGTTCAAGTATATTATTGATCTCTGATAACTACTATCACGATAATTAGGTCATTATTTTGCTGTGATGCATATATTATGAACTTGAAAGTGGAAGACGCCACATAAGAACAACTATAAAGCAATCACAAAAGATGTGTGAATCCTCACTAATATTATAAATTGGAAAGTGAGTTTGTTTGTTTGTTTGTTTGTTTGTTCCGCTTTCACGCCATAACTACTAAACCGATTGCTTTGAATTTTTGCAGACGTAAAGTTAGAAGTCTGAATTAAATAACAGGGTACTTTTTATCCCGGAAAAAAATTATATTTCCGAGGGAAAACAAACGTATTGGTACAGATGGCGCTGTGTGTATCGGTATATATCACATAGGCTATTTTTATGATTTTGTGAGCGAAGCCGCGGGTAAAAGCTAGTATTTAATAATAACAATCGTAGGTGGCTGATTGTACCTTCCTGTTCAGGAGCACTGCTGATGGTAAAAGGATGCCACTCATAGGTAGCTATAGCAGGGATGTTCACAAACACGTAGTCTCCAGCGTGGAAGTGGAAGAGTGGGGGTCGCTTCACCACCAGGTGGGTCACGCGTGATGGGAGCAGGATGCCTGATGATATGTAGGTCTTGCCGCGCTCTGATCTGAGGAGGAAATATTTATTTATTTTATTTATCTTAAATACAAGTTGAAGGTATTTTCATGATTTCAGATTTTGTACATGTAAGTATTAAGTCCATTTTCAAAATATTTAAACAGAATCTAGAATGAATGTCATGTGGCCCTTTTGGTTCGTCTTGGTAATGCACTACAGTGCCCCCAAATATCTATGATACATTTTTGAAAGTTCATTTCGCAATGTATGTTGCGAGGTTGATTCTGAGTCTGTATAAATACAACCAACGTATTAAAAATCTTCACAAAATAATGCGCGGTTGGTGTGGTCGCTGGGATACCGGCTGCCGCGCAACGGGTAGCGGGTTCGATTCCCATACGGAGAAACTCTTTAAGCGATCCACAAATTGTTGTTTCTGGTCTGGGTGTCATGTGTATGTGAACTTGTATGTTAGTAAAGTCAGCAACGATACAGGAGAATATCCTAACGTGGGGTTTCAACGTTTATTGTAAAAAAATAATACAACAATATTTAATTATTAAATGTGGGAGAGCCATGTTTCGGCACGAATGGGCCGGCTTGACCGAAATGATACCACGGCCTCACAAAACACCGACGTGAAACAACGCTTGCATTGCGTTTCGTCGTGTGAGTGAGGTTACCGGAGGCCCAATCCCCTACTCCCCTCCCCCGTCTCTCCAATCTCCGAATCCCCCACAATCCTTAAATTCCCAATTTCCAAAAGGCCGGTAACGTACTTGTAACACCTCTTGTATTTCGGGTGTCTATGGGCGTTGCCAATTGCTTACCATCAGGTGATCCGTGTTCTCGTTGACTGGCTTATCCCATAAAAAAACAGTAATTACCTCATCCAAGCCAGCCTCATGATCCTCTCGGCCACGTAGACGGTGCCGGGCAGCACGAACCACTTCCAGAAGTTGGGCGCGTGCACCAGCAGCAGCAGCCAGAACGGCACGTACAGCAGGTGGGACCAGTAGAATATCTGCAGATCAAAACTTGAGTTATCACTTTGGTTTTTTTTCTCACCCCCTATTACATGGGACTTATAACATAAATAGTGAAAAGTGGGTGTTACATTGTACAGTGGCATTAAGTGCCGTAATGTGCACCTCTGTCTACCCCTTCGGGAATAAAAGGCGTGATGTTATGTTGCTTTTTTTTCAATCTTTCTTTTATTCTTATTTTAATAAAACATAGGATTGTCTCTTATGTCGTGGGTGCGTTTACAAACATACAAGTTCACATACACATGGGTGTCATGTGTATGTGAACTTATATGTTTGTTATTATGTTCAATTTGTACAGCACTTGGCTCAAGCTCAACTCCCAAACGTCTTTATCGTTTGTCGCTTTAATACTTTAATTAAAGTTGTCTAAAGGGCCTCTGCGCAGTTGGCTCCGGCCCCTCGTACGCCTCCCAAATGACAGGGACCCTGTGGTCCCGTGAATGGTAAAGACATACATAAAAAATAAAATATTCTTAATTATGTTCATAATCACCTCGAAACTCCCGCCCCGTCTAATAAAAGGCTGGCTGCAGATGAACATGACGAACAGTATAACGGCGAGGGCTACACCGGTGGGGTTGGCACAGCCCGGCACCAGACCGAACAGACCCGGCTTCTCCGTCAGCAACCATTCCGAGAGTGTGTAGTTAGCTTTATTCAAGACTGGGTCGTTTACTACGATTATACCTGTAATGAAATGTTAATACGTTTATATATCGTACCGAAACTTTGTTTTTACAAAAGTAGTCTTTAAACATCGGGAATAAGGCCTATAATGAAGTGAGTGAAGAGCGGGCACTGGTGACCATTTGGTGATTAAGCAGTATGGCTTAATTATTAAAGTATTAAAGGTTAAAAGTTCTTCAGCAGTTTAATTACCAGGGTAGATACAGATGAGATTATGCTATTTAATACTGTATCCTATTGCCATCTACCGGACACAATTCCAAATTCTGTGTTATTATTAAGAATTTTTGACAAGCCGTATAAACCTCTATAGTATTTTTTACGACTCAAAAATTTAACCAAAGATCCCGTTCTCGTATTGCACTTCGTACTTGGGACAACCATGAAAATGATAATATGTAGATACTAAAATTAAATATGAATACTATGAATGCCTTTTCACACACTCCGGTGTAATTTGTATACACGGAGCCGCCGGCGCCGGCTAACCGGTCCATTCACCGGAACGTGTAAAAAGGCATTGAATAGATAGAATATGAAGTTGTTCAATTGTCTGGGAATACATGTATAGGTATGTGATAAGGCACTGATAACAGTAACAGACACTGGTCGATAATTTCACGCATACTCACACAGCCGAAATAGCTCAGTTGGGAGAGCGTTAGACTGAAGATCTAAAGGTCCCCGGTTCAATCCCGGGTTTCGGCAGAGTAACTTTTTGCTCTTTGCATAATTTTTTACCATCCGTTTATATTCGTAAATTTTTCTTATTATAATGCAATTTTATCTTTAAAAAGATTTTATTAAAATTTTGTGAAATAAGTGAATTTTTTTAGTTCAATAGTAAAAAAATATTGATTTACATTTTTTTTCGAGTAATGAACATGGTAGGCACGTATTTGAAAAAAATGTACTTACGTCTCTATAATTGGGTACTTTCCTTTATCAAAAAATAAATTATTTCGACTGTTCAATACAACAAAATATTAAAAAATAATCACACTTTCAATAATTGATTTTATGACCAACTTAATTTTAGTATTGTTCCATCAATTTTTTAAGAAATAAGTATACTCTTAGATGCTATAAAACCGTGACGTCACAATACACAATCTCTTAACAAAATTCATAGAAAACTATCGTTTTTGACAGTTCGAAAAAAGGTAATGAATTTGACTAATTAGCAAGTACCGTATTGTACTTACTAAAGTTACAAAGATGCATCAGCGTGTGCACGAGGCTGTACACAGCAATGAGCACGCCGGTCAGTTTGTGCAGGTAGATGTGGTGGTCCAGGGGCAGGTACGAGCTGAACCCACGGACTCGGAGCTCCGTGAGGCAGTGTCGCAGCATTAGGACCAGCACCCAGGAACACGTGAAGTTTAGACATTGACCTGCAAATTAATGGGGTGGATGGTCATTATAACATCACGCCTTTCATCCGCGAAGAGGTAGGCAGAGGTGTAAGTTACGGCACTTAATGCCGCTGTATAATGTAACACCTGATTTTAATCTAGCATGGAGGTGATGGTGTAAAGGTGAATTACTTTGAATAAGAAAATTATTAACGTTCGGTTAACTAACTCCCTAACTTAACTACGGATTACTTAGGTATGTGCTTTCTAAAGTTCAAAGTGGTCAAAGTAGAGAGTATACAGTTTAAGGTGACAGGCCACCACCACTTTCTGTAAATAGAAACATTATGTTTCTATTCTTAATATCTTCAAATTCTCCGAAAGGCTATACAGAGGAAACAAACTTGTTTTTCGCTAGTTGTGTATTTGATTCATTGTACCTTACCTACTATTGCAAAACATCAAACACAATGAGGGCTAGGTACCGTATTTTAGCTCATCAGATGACAAAGTTCTTTTGACCAATCACAGCTGCTGTGAAATATTGAACGAAGAACCTATAGAACGAAGAACGAGAGCACAACACTAGCACCATCTGTTGGGCACCACGATAGGCCCCATTCGAAATTCAAAGCTTAGACTTAGCATACAACACAAAGTTAAGACAATAACGATCACAATATACTTACCACAAGCTCTGGCTAATATAACAAATCCGTTTGCCTTGCGGTACTCCACGCAGCGAGCGACGAAGAGTCCCACATTTACAAGAGTGAACAGACCCAAATACGTGAGGAATACGTAGTTGTTCTTGAAGTAGGGCCGCGACAGCTGGTAGGGCTTCAGTCTGGACAGGCGCTGTTTGAAGGAGACTGGCTGCGGGTCCTGCTTCGGAGGGACTAGCCAACGGTCTATGCTGGAAGGGAATGGAATGAGTTAAATAAGTTGAAATATTAGGATAATGCATACTTATAGTATAGAGAGTTTCGCATAAATATGTTACTTGACCTATGTTGTATTGATTTCGTGAAAGTGTAGTTTAAGAAAAAAGAAAGGACAATGATTTATTTACACGATATCTTATATTATTGTTTATTTGTTTGAACGCGCTAATCTCCGTAACTACAAGTCTGATTTGAATAATTCTTTTTGTGTTGCATAGCGCATTTATCGAGGATGGCTATAGGTTATAAAACATCACGCTACGACCAAAAGGATCCGAGCAGAGTGTGTGAAACCGCACGGAAGTAGCTAGTAAAACATAATAATCATGTGGCATGTTCATATTGTGCATCGCCGCATCACTGTGTGCATGTGTGCGTGTCTCAATTAATATAATGACAATGTCAATGTCAATGGCACAGTGGACATCAATACAGCACCTGAACAAAATAAATGAGCAAACTCTCACGTACCTGATAGACAGATTCTCCAGCAATCCATCGTGACTCTCAAGCTGCTTCTTCAAGGCATCGTAAGTGATGGCACCGCGGCGCTCAGTGTCAGCGTCGTCGAACATGGCGGTGGTGAGCTCCAGCAGCTGGTCGTCACTGAACTGCATGCCGTTCTCCTCCATGCAGGCTCGCATCACGTGCTGCAGCTCACGGTGCTGGATCAGGCCATCACCTGGAGAAGGAAAATTGTGAACGCCGGGACTTAAGTTTAACTCATGTTGCTTCGAGACCATGTCAGTTGAAAATATTATATTGTTGCAGTTGTTCAAAAATTAACCACTTTGAAAGTGAATAATCCAGTGCAGTAATGTTAGTTTGTACCGGCGTTTATCTGTGAGTCTTTAGTGATTCTGTTTACATACATAGAACAATATTTTGAATCAAAATAAAACAAAATAAGACACTGTGTAGGTTAATATCATGGCACATTCAACATGCTTGAAGTGTGTCTCACCATCCAAATCATAAACCTTGAACAGGAATCGTATCTTGTCCTCGGGCGTCTGTCCAGCGAACTGATGGACGGCTGCAATGAACTCCTGGAGGGAGATGGCACCGGAGTCATCTTCATCGAAGATTTGGAACACTCGCTCCGTGAAAAAGGGCTGGAAACAGAACAAAGTAAGAAATTACGCGTTTCAATTGTGACAACTTCATGTGTTATTGGTGGCTCGTCACAAACTTGTTTACGCGACTGCCAAGCAAAGGGTCTCGAGTGTTATTAGGTTTTTCGAATATTCTTAGTAATAGCATGGTGTCTGACATAACATAACATCTCTCCTTTTATCCCCGAAGGGGTAGGCAGAGTTGCACATTACGGCGCTTAATGCCACTGTACCTCTGTGCTTCTACTTTTTTTTAAACCCATGGTGTGTGTTTGCTTATATTTGTCATCATCCGAATTGGTTCATCTAAAAAATTGTCGCTGTCGTTGAAATTGATCTACGAAGAGGTACATTTTAGTTAATTTAATAAATAAATAAATATGTTATGTAGAATGAGCTTACATTTTTGGACACAACTATTTTCTGGAACTGTTCTCTGGTGATCTCTTTCTCATCTCCCACTGTAGCTCGGAACAGCTTCTCCAACCGGTCTACGCTGTGCTTGTCGAAGCCCACGCGGGGTCTGAAACATTACGTAGTCACAAAATATAAATGCTATTTTATAGTTCATCATCATCATCATCCTCGATTGGTTTCCATCACTGGTGGTCATGGGATTATCTTCGTCAATTAAGTACTTATTGAATATAATCCATCAATCCATGAATAAAAACGTAATGGAAACACAGTTGGACTATCAATGAAGTATCTATCTTACAGACATTCAAAGTTTATATATAACATATACGTAACTTGGTGTTTACAAAATCAAGAAATGAAATTATTAATTACTATTCTTCATTTTAGGACTCATTCATTCATAAGACACTGTTTGTTTAGTTCATTTATTAATGTAACATACAATATTTTCGTAGAAAAACATGACTTTATACCTGCTACTGGTGACTGTTGATAGAAACTCCATGATCTCGTCAGCAGTCGCATACCCGTCACCATCCGTGTCTACAACTCTGAACAACTTATTTGTTACCTAAAAACAATAACAATAACTTTTATTTTGTCACTTCTACTAGGAAATGTTATTAATACAGGCTATGTTTTGTGATAGTTTTTTATTTCGAGGGTATCGTTAATATTTTAATCAACTTGAGAGACAACGCCATCTAGTTACACAAAACGCTATTACTAGTTACTCTACCAGCTACTAGATGGCGCTGCTCATTGATACTCACCACTTTATTCTTAAGTATGAGTTGAAACGTGTCCAATGTAATCACACCGTTGCCGCATAAGACGTAAGCAACACTTTCTACTTGTTCCACAAAATCTATTTGTTTGTCTTCGCTGTAAACCCAAAAAAAAATATTCGTTTGAATAAATTCTTATATCAGCTACTCGCCGCTAGATGGCGCTGAACATATTATTAGAGTAGCCGTAAAAATGTAGACAAACATACCTAAGTCGTTCTTTCAAAAACTCTAACCAGTCATTTTGATCTAAGTTGTTGTTGCCGTCTGCGTCGAATAGCCGAAATATTCGCTCCAGTAGATCCTGAAACAATGAAAAAATCGGTTTATGATTGTTTTCTCATATTTTATGAACTGGATTGCTTGATTTTCTTGTTATTGGCGAAATAGCGACAACAAGTTGAAAGAAAGAAAGAAAGAAAAATAATTTATTCGCCACCAGACATGGACCACCGAATAACACACAAAATAATAACAAAATAACATTGAGAAACAAAAAAATAAAATAAAAAACAATAAGAACAAAACAATAAAAACAATAATAACATAAAAAAACAGTTGCCGTAATAGAACCACAGTTCTTGCAACCTAGAAGTGGCCATTTCTCGTTGTTTAAAGTATTATTAGCTTTACATTAAATTAATAAGACATCTCCGAACTGGGGAGATAATGGAACAAACAACATCAAAAACTTCCACATTCGTAATAATTTTAATTACAACATCAAAATAAGTTAAAATAACAAAAAATCTGTAGAGATAGTGGCCAAACGTCGGCCCATCAAATACAAAAAAGACGATTTAATAACCTTCAGAAAGGTCACAATTTTACAATGCACTAACCTACCTATCACAGTTACTTAACCACCTAGTCATAATACCAAATCCGCAAACACCTATTTTATTTTTATAATCTGCAAATATTTATTAAGTACATAATAATATAGGTAGTAGCTAGAGAGATATCAGTTTTCTCGACCAACTATTTGATACCCAGTAACCATCTACATATTGTAACTAAACCTGTTTTAACTTATGAACATCCCTGTAATACCAATTATGTTACAGATAAATAAATGATTATGATTATGTGTTACTCAGACCGCACACACTGCTCATGAGGAAAAGTCCCTCTGTGACTCGAAACTAGTAGAGCTTTTCTCAATATATTACGTAAGTAGTTCGTAATTTTTAGTTAATTCAGCATGTCTCTCGATAGTTATCATAAAAATGTACGTACTTTATGCATAAATGCATAATACAGTAAACAGGATAACACACATAAAATTATATGAATATGCACTATGAATAGGCACTACATATACCTGTTGGATTGTTGTAAACAACACTTTAGAAGGTAAATATAATAGTAGGAATGTATGGTGAGGAAGACTACAGGAAAAATGAACGCATTCTGTGATGGGAAACTTTAACTTGGGGTAGGAAGGTAATACCTACTATCCTCCTACCTATATGAATAATATTATAAAATAGCTGTTGCCGACTTCGTCCACTTAAAATATGAATTTTAGAACATAACTTTTTTGTATCAATATTCCAAAATACATGTAACTCCTTAGTGCATTAGCTACCTGCCTATAAAAGTCTTGCAAAATTGGTCCAACTATTTTAGAGTAATCTCTGGAATACAAACAGACAGACCAAAATTTTTTTTTATAATACAGTGAGCTGCGCGACGTCACCTCGACCGCGCCTCGACTGCGAATTCATGAGGTAGAACCCCTTTGTGGTTCGAAACTAGTAGAGCTTTTCTCAGTATATTCACATGAGTAACCCACGATTTTCAGTTAAACACCAAAAAATGTAAAAAATGTTATTTTGGTATGTGTATCGTATGTATGTAGTATATACATGTAGTAAAACCGATTTTGATATTACAAACACTCCCATTTTATTTGTCTGTATAAATGCGAAAGTTTGTGTTTGTGTGTTAGTTATTCCTTTACATCAAAATGACTGAAGGGTTCGGGATCAAATTTGGAATAAGTGTAAAATAATGTCTGGAATAACGCTTAGGTACTTTTTATCCCACGGGACCGCGGGCGAAGCCACTGGCTGAAACTAGTAGAAAATAATGTTCTGTATTTCAGTAAGTATCGTATTGTATGTATGTAACTGAATACTGTTATTACCAGAAAAGTTCAAAAAGTTCTCATTCTTAATTTCTGATTAAAAGAAATCTAATGAGAAAAACAGTAAAAATAGAATGGGTAATTGGGCCTCCGGCAACCTCACTCACACCACGGAATACAACGCAAGCGTTGTTTCACGTCAGTGGTGGTACTCCGGTCGAGCCGGCCCAATCGTGCCGAAGCATGGCTCTCTCCATAAAATATGTATAGGTGCAGTAGAAGAGTTAATATTATGTTAACAATTGCACTAAAATCACGCTATTTACTAACAGAATTCGCATAAAAATCCAATCAATCAATAGTTCGTTAATTCATTGTTGCAATATGATAAAGAACTTTACTTTCTAAACTAAGAAGAATTAATTATACACCGTGAAATCTATTTCGGTTTCGTCCCGAAGTAAAATGGCTCTGTCTTGGTCATACAATAGTTTTACAAAGAAATAAAATGTTTAAAACAAAAAATAACTGGTGAACTTTTGCAAAAAGCTAACTTCGAAAGCGCATACAAACTCACATTATCAAAACAATACACCATGTAGTTCTCGACGAGGTATTTGATCGAGGTGATCGGATGGTAGTGTTTCTAGTAGGTATCTCAATGGTTAAAAAAAATGTAATTTATTTTTTTGTTTTTACTTTATACATCGAAAGATGATACTCCTTATGGCAAGTTGTTTTGCGGGACGGAAACGAAATAGATATCACAATGTACATAATTATATTATGTATTTGTCTTACCCATCGGATAAATGTATCACTTTTGACTTTAAGCTCTTTATTAGAATAATAAAATAATAGTCATAGAGTACGTAGTTTCTCGCCTACTAGTAAGACGGCACTGTGAAACCACAAACATGTTTCCTGGCTATGAGATAACAGCAAATAATGACATTAATTTGTTTGCCATTCAAAGCGGTTTTTATTCAACCGCGGATTTATGTTTGAACAGACGATTCGGAATTCATTTGTCAAAGATCATAAGGTCATAAGCCTTCGGAATGTTTTTATGATAGTGTGTTAAAATATAAATGTAATTATGTGATTCGTTATTGAAGTAATTAAGATTAACTGCGACCAAATGAAAAATAATTCAGAAGGAAAATGAATGCGCGGTTGTCTCAGTGGCTGGGCAACTGACAGCGGCATACCGCGTAACATTATATGTCACGTGTGTTCGATGCCCGCACGGAATAACACTTTGTGTGATACACAAACTACTGTTTGGGATCTGTGTGTCATTTAAAAGTGATTTTGTATGCTTGTAAACACACTCGATATAGGAGAATATACGTTAGGGTGGGAGCAAATTAAAAAAAAAGGTAATACGAGCGTTGGTTTGTTCTTTTTATTGTTTTGACCTACAATTTATAAAGTTCCAGCACCTGTAGCCAAATGTCATTTAGCGCGTGTCTACACGTAGAATAGAAAACCAAATTATATGGAATTGACGTAAATTTTGACACTTGTCAGTGTCATCCCCAAACATTTTGATTTCTACTCTCTCTGTAGACAAGCGCTAAAGTGACGTTTGGATAAAGGCCCAGTGCCAAAATTAACGTCAATTCCATATAATTTGGTTTTCTATTCTACGTGTAGACACGCGCTAAATGGCATTTGGCTACAGCTGCTCATTAGCTTCCTAATAACACTTTTGTGCACTGAACCCTAAAAACAGCATAAAAAAAAAATACCCAATCAAAATACCACAAGTATCTAGTTTTCCTTCATCTCACAGCTCACTCGACTTTAACCAATTAAGATGATTGCAATCGATTTGAATCGATTCGATGTGACGTCTCGCGTCAGCCAATCGATAAGTTGACTCGATCAAATAATCGAGTTGTGTGTTTAAATTACAATTAGCGTCAGTTAGTATGGAGGTGGTTGAAGTAGGTTACATTATTGTGATTATCTCGTACCGAATATGACAGCACACGTGGATCGTAGTGCCAATTATGTTTTGAATATAATCTTGTATTTTTAAGGTGTAATAGGTACTTATAACTCTATATATAAGTTGTAATAAAGTTTATAATTTTATTATTAATCAACTCAATGGTGGGCGGTGGGCGACTGGCTGATGCGCAAAATGTCGCGCCTTCGAAACAATAAGTAATTTGTATTGGTGAAATGATAAGCTTTTTAAAATCCTTATACATATTGTTTATCGTATCTATACGTAGATTTCATCTGCAGTATATAAAGTTTACAGCAATTTAAATAATGTATTACAAGAGTTGATGATACATATCCTAAAATTATATAATAAATTAATAGTTCATACAAAACTAATTTGTATCTTCTAAAATAAGTTGAGATATTTCCCACTTGTAGAATTCAATACTTTTTTCGAAACTTCAAAAAACATAATTACATCCATATAAGGCCTCGTACACAAGACTGCGATCGGATGCGATGCGAATTCGTAACACAAAAAATTACGATGCGAATTGCTGCGATGCGATTTCGTGCGACAAAGCGTCTCCCAGGGTGACCATTCCTTCGACGACCGTCAACCGTACTAAACGTATTTTAAATTAAAAACTGGGTCGTGACATTGAT